TGTGTGCGTCGGTGCGTGCGTGCGTCGGTGTGTGTGTGTGTCGGTGTGCGTGTGCGTAGGTGCGCGCGTGCGTCGGCGCGTGCGTGTGTGCGTCGGTGTGTGTGTGTGTCGGTGTGTGTGTGTCGGTGTGCGTGCGTCGGTGTGTGTGCGTGTCGGTGTGTGTGTGTGTGTCGGCGTGCGTGTGTCGGTGTGTGTGCGTCGGTGCGTGCGTCGGTGTGTGCGTGCGCGGCGGTGTGCGTGCGTGTGTCGGTGTGTGTGCGTGTCGGTGCGTCTGTCAGTGTGCGTGCGTCGGTGTCTGCGTGTGCGCGTGTCGGCGTGCGTGTCGGTGTGCGTGTGCGTCGGTGCGTGTGCGTGTCGGTGTGCGTGCGCGTCGGCGTGTGTGTGTCGGTGCGTGTGCGTCGGTGTGTGTGTGTCGGTGCGTGTGTGTGTCGGTGTGTGTGCGTGTCGGCGCGTGCGTGTGTCGGTGTGTGTGTGTGTGCGTCGGCGTGCGCGTGTGTCGGCGTGCGTGCGTCGGTACGCGCGCGCCGGCGTGTGCGTGCGTGACGGTGTGCGTGGGTCGGAGTGCGTGTGAATCGGTGTGTGTGTGTCGGTGTGTGTGTCGGTGCGTGTGTGCGTCGGTGCGTGTGTGTGTCGGTGTGTGCGTTGGGCGCGTGCGTGGGTGCGTGTGTCGGTGTGCGTGTGTCCGCGTGCGCGTGTCGGTGTGTGCGCGTGTCGGTGTGTGTGTCGGCGTGTGTGTGCGTCGATGTGCGTGCGTGTGTGTCGGTGCGTGCGCGCGTGTCGGTGCGCGTGTGCGTCGGCGCGTGTGCGCGTCGGTGTGTGCGTCGGTATGTGTGTGTGTCGGTGTGTGTGTCGGTGTGTGTGTGTGTGTGTCAGTGCGTGTGTGTGTCAATGTGTGTGTGCGTCGGTGTGTTAGTCGGTGTGTGTGCGTCGGTGTGCGTGTCGGTGTGCGTGCGTCGGTGTGTCTGTGTGCGTGTGTGCGTGTGTGTGCGTGCGCGCGCGCGTGTGCGCGTGCGTGCGTGTGTGCGCGCGCGTGTGCGTGTGTGTGCGTGCGTGTGCGCGTGTGTGCGTGTGTGTGCGCGTGTGTGCGTGTGTGCGCGCGCGCGCGTGCGCGTGCGTGTGCGCGCGCGTGCGTGCGCGCGCGTGCGTGCGCGCGCGTGGGCGTGCACGTGCGCGCGCGCGCGTGCGCGAGCGCGCGCGCGCGCGTGCGCGTGCGCGTTTGCGCGTGCGCGTGCGCCGGTGCGGTTGCGCGTCGGCGCGTGCGCGCGCGCGTGCGCTTGCGCGTGCGGCGTTCGTGTGCGCGCGTGTGCGCGTTTTTGTGTGCGTGTGTGCGTGTGCGCGCATGTGCGCGCGTGCGTGGCGTGCGTGCGTGCGTTGCGCGCGCGTTGCGTTGCGCGTGCGTTGCGTGCGTGGCGCGCGTGGCGTGGCGTGGCGTGCGTGGCGTGCGTGGCGTGCGTGCGTGGCGTGCATGCGTGCGTGGCGCGCGTGGCGTGCGTGGCGCGCGTGCGTGGCGTGCGTGGCGTGCGTGGCGTGCGTGGCGTGCGTGGCGTGCGTGCGTTGCGTGCGTTGCGCGCGTTGCGTGCGTTGCGTGCGTGCGTGCGT